CAGGCCCCGTCTGCAAACCAGCCGGCCCCTGCTGCCCTCGGGCCACCCCGCTCTGCGGTCAAGTCGGGCCCTTCCAGGTCCCCCTCAGGGCGAAGGGAGCGAGCCGGGGCTGTCCGCCTCCACGTTGTTTTAGTCCTGCTCATCGCTGTGGCTAAGCCCCGGTCTGTGTGGTTTCTGCTCTGGGACTGGTCCTGGAAGGCGCGCCCTGGGGTAGGGGTGGCCGTGATCCGCCCCAGGGCGGAGCTGAGCTCCGGCCAGCGCTGCGGCCAGGACACGCCGCGTCCCAGCAGCCAGGCGGCGAGAGGAGCCACGGGCGGGCGTGACAGCACCGCCGCCACGCCCCTGAGCGCCTTCGGGGGAAAGGGCCCGTTCGTGCCCCCGATGGGCTCCCGGCCAGCTGTGTGGCAGCCCCAGAGACTCCCGCTTCTGAGCGCCGGGGCTGGTACCCCAAACCTGACGCAAAAGTCGGCGCGTGGCAGGTGTGGGCACAGGGCGGGTGCCATCTCGCCAAGGCGCGGACGCCGCCCGTTCCTCGGGAAGGACGGCGGGAGCCTGGCGCTGAGCCCTCCGCTGCTCCCCCGGCTCGGCCTTAGGTCTTGGGGCGGAGTCGCCGCCGGGGCCTCGCCGGCAGAGCGGCCTGAAGGGGCCCGGCCACCTTGCCCGGCAGGGAGACGGCACGTGACTTTGGTCCAGGTAGCCCCAGGCCCCGCGTGCGCCCGTGACACCTGGGGACTCTGGGCGTCCCCCGTGACGTCCGTCCCCGGAAAGGGGCGCCCTCGGCCTCGGGGGCCTCTGCCCCGACGCGGGGCTTCCACGCCTGCTGGCGACTGCACCGGCCGGCTCCCGGGGCTCAGTGGACACGCACAGGGCAGGGCAGACCCGGCCGCGCTCGGGGCCGTGTGGAGGCTGGGGCCGGACGCCCGCTCCCCGACACCCGCCCAGGGCCCGCGCCCCCTTCAGCGTCTTCCAGCGGAAGATTCCCCTGCACGGCAAGGTTGTCCGGGCAGGGGAGGGGAAGCCCCGTGTGTCCAGCCGCCCTCAGGCTCGCCCGTGCGCCCGGCGCCGCGGGCCGGGGGTCAGTGATCAGATGCGGCCAGTGGCCACGCGAGCCACGCTTGAGGCAAGTCGCAGAGGCTGTCAGGGATTCGTCTGGGACACGAGGCCGCAGCCGGTCTGCGCGGGCCCCGGGCCGCACCACGCCACGGGCACAA